AGAATTTAATTCTTCTGACCGTGAATCTGCAATGTTTAAGTTTTTTCGGTAGAATTGACTTTTAACTATTCCCTCAGGATGTTTTGGAGGGGAAACTGTAGATATTATTTCTTTTCTAGCTATATCAGTTGGGTCTGAATTATTTGGTTTCGGCCTTTTATTTGGCCTACTGGTGTTTGTGTGAGGATTAAATATAAATTTAGCAAAATTATTTCCCTGGGAGGAAGTAGAAGGTTGTGAATTTTGTGGAAAATTTGTATCATTGTTGACTGTATTGGTCCTAAGAATACTAGCATATGAATTTTTAGGCACTTGTTTATTTGCATCGTAAAAATTAATGTTTGTTAAACCCATCGTCTCTTTCATTAACTTTTGTCGTGAGAATTCTGGGCATGCGCTTAGATTTGTGGTCAAATTTTTCCCCTTACAACTAAAACATACGTGTTCGAAATCAACTTTTGTACAATCTTTTGAATTATGCGTTTCTTGGCATCTGTTACATCTTGGTTGACTCCTACATTGATTTCCCAAGTGGCCGTATCTAAGACAGTTAAAGCATAACAAAACTTTCTGTTTATATATTTCAACTTCTTTAATAACCTTATTGATTACTATATATTTTGGTAAATTTTGCGATTTAAAGGTCACAATACAAGACTTAGTAGGGACATATTCGACAATTTTTTCCTCATTAACATTTTTTTCTACTTTACGCGTAATTCTTTTAACATTTGCAATTTCAAATATGCAATGACTATCATACTGTTTAATTCTATTTTTAATATACTCTTTCGATAAATCTGCGTCTATATCCCTAATAACTCCTTGTCTGTGTAAAATAAATTTTGGAATATACAAATCTAAATTATTTAAACGAAATATTTCTAGAGTTTTGTTTTTAATGAGGTTATTAGCAGTTATATAATCTTTGCATTTGACTCTAATTCTATTTCGGCCAGTGGGGTCTATACTTGAAATCATATTGTCTGCTTCAGGAAAGTTAGACAAAATAATTTCACCAATCTTTAGAGGATTTAATTTACCTTTAAACTCCATAGAGCTATTCTCGATATATACATGATATGGGCCTAGATCATTACTATTAAATAAAAATGCTTGTCTTACCCGTTTTGTTACTTTTTGTTGTGTTTCATTCAGAAGGGTTGTATTTGCATTATTCATCAAATTTATTGGTGTTGGAGTACTTACAGAAAGATCCATTTCGGCATCACTTTGATTATCGAATATGTTTCCAGATATACCTGGTTTTGAGGGTTTTTTGGGGTCAGGGGGTCTCCCCCCGCTATTGACACTCATACGGTAGGTGGTTCAATAAGCGATATTGTTGTTAGCCAACGCCACAAATTCCACAATTTAAAGCACAATATTAATTGTAAATTATTGCTCGTCTAATTTCTATGAAAACTACGACGGAACTGTCTTTAATACTGATTAAATCTCAAAAAATTTGTAAGGAACTTCAAAAAGCGTCTTTTAAGTTTGCAGTTTTTTTGACAATTAATAATGATAGTTAAAAAATAACAAAACCCTTGGCATAACTCGAAAATAGTCCTCAATTCAGAAAAAAACTAACTTACCTTTTGAATACCGTGTAAGGCAGAAAAATGGAAAGCAGTGTATTGTCAAAGTTACTGAATCGTGATGCTGTAAAAAATAATGGTTGTGGTAAAAGCGTTTAACGGGTAAAGAGACATCTTGGACTGATCTGATAAATAACAATGTTGATTTGATCATTTTCAAGCTGGTTAACTACTAATGTGGGTTCTCATCTGAACCTAAGGGACAAACCCCGTACTTACAGAGGACCACTTTGCCAATGGTCTGACAATATTTTTCGAACAAATGTAGAGAATTAATAGTATAAGAGACTACAAAATTGCATATAGTATATGTCTTCAAGTAATTTGATCTTTCAGAAGCATTTCTGTTTTCAGAGGAATTAAGGACACGCAGTTTTCCAGAAGTTGATGACATAATATTTTATGAATTAGCCAATTTGATCGTAAGAATTTAAAAAGATAATAAAGAAGTAACAATAAAATAAGTAATTAAAATATAACTTACTTCATATTATAATAAAATAATACGAATATTAAAATTTTCAAACAACAAAGAGATCTTTTATATTTTCCATTGCCTTTTATTTAATATATATATATATATATATATATACATAATATTTTCTTTACGATCGCATTGTTATTCTAGAAACTATGGCTTGTAAAATAGTTTAATATTGGCATATTATAAAAGTTCGTTCGTTCTAAGAATTGTGTTAGTTTTATATGGTAGGCAATGTCGTTTTTTATTACTGTAATTAGTAATTATTGGTTACTAACACCTAAAAACCACCGGCTATATCCTGGCCAGCTCAAGTCATTGACACACATCCGCACCCGTCAATATATGTGGGGTACTACAACAGTCACCATAAGCAGTAGAAATATAAACAATGCAACAGCAATGGAAATGCACTAGTAAAATATGCGGAGGACGAACATCTATCACTAAAGTTTGACACCAAAGACCGACCTACATTCATGTCAGCAGCATGGAAGAAGGAGTACAATCCTGACCTATGTTTTGTTTCTACTAATAAAAACGGACAACCTCTATCAGTCTCTCGAAAAGTAATGGACGACTTCCCACACAGCCAACACCGCCCAGTGATCTTAGAGGCGGGAACACAGATTTCTATAATCACATCCATCCCTCGCCCACGTTTTATTTCTAAAGGAACTGGACAAGACTCTGGGCTGGATACCCCCTACCATCAGAAATTACAAAAGATTCGTTGGAGCTGTAATAAGCACAGCCAAAAATCATATACCAAAAGGCTACCGAAAAGAATACATTTCTGGTTGGTTTCATAACAACGAAGAACTGTACCAAAATTTCCTTGAAAGCGGCGATCAAGAATTAGCCGATGAACTGCTATATAGAGAGCTATATAAAGAAAATTAGGAAGCGGAACTTCCATAACAAGAAACAAAACAACAATTAACCCAAACACTATTGCCTCACATCTGGCATCGACATCTAGGGCCCCGAAAGACAAGCCACACACAATCAAGGTAAAACGAGAGCTCAAAACTTTAAAATTCCAATTTGCAGAAACCGAATACTCTCGCCCTTTCACTTGCGAGGGTCAAGAAGTCACTATAGCTTTCAAGGATGTAAAGGCTGGTAAAGCCCCAGGTTTTGACAATATTCATGCTGAATTCCTAATTAACAGCGGCAAATATGCGAGGGAATGGATGGCCAACTTTTTCAAAGATATTATAAAGACCGATACCATTCCACAGGAACAGGAACACTCGAAGATAATTGCCATATTAAAACCGGGGAAACCAAATGACAGCAGCCCTAAGAACTACAGACCAATAGCCCTACTATCGTTAACGTTCAAGCTACTAGAACAACTTATCTATAAGAGAATTAGTCCAAAGCTACTTGAATCGATACCGGTTGATCAAGCAGGTTTCCGACCGAAAAGAACCTGCTCAGATCAGGTTCTTTCACTTACCACATTTATTGAAAAGAGAAGATATTCCAGAGAAAACTTAAAACTGCAGCCGCATTCATAGACCTAACAGCGGGATACGATACAGTCTGGAGAGAAGGCATGATATACAAGCTCCTCCGTATAATCTCCTGTAAATCTACCGCTCGAATAATCAACAGCATGCTAGCCGACCGAACGATTCAAGTAGTCATGGGAACCGACATCAGCACCCCAAGAAAACTGAAGAATGGACTGCCTCAGGGATCTGTCCTAGCTCCTCTTCTCTTTAGACTGTACATCGCTGATATACCAGAAACCAGATCAGTTTGGTTACACCGATGACTGGGTCCTTGCAACAAGGTGTAAGTCAATTGAACAAACGGAAATAATCCTTACGGCAGACTTACACACAGTGGGAAAGTATTTCCGTAAATGGAGGCTCCAACCAAACGCTACCAAAACAGAGGTTTCCAATTTTCACCTAACTAACAAGCTTGCAGGAAGAACACTGAACGTCAAATTCGAAAACACCACACTGGCCTACAATAAAACACCAAAGTACCTTGGGGTGACTCTTGATACAACTCTATCTTTCAAGAAACATATGTCAAAAACAGCGCAAAATCTTAAATCCAGAAACAACATCATCTAGAAGCTGTGCGGAACAACATGGGGAGCATCGGCTTCCACCTTGCGATCATCTGCCCTGGGCCTTTTTTTCTCAACTGCGAAATACTGCTCTTCAGCCTGGCTTAACAGCTCACATACACACAAAGTAGATGCCCAATTGAATAACACAATGAGAATGATTGCTGGTGTTATCAAATCCACCCCCATGCAATGGCTCCCAGTCCTTAGCCACATTTCACCACCGAGACTACGGCGTATACACTTCCTCACTAGTGAGTACCAAAAGATACTTAGCAACGGGACACTGCCAATTCATCAAGATATAGATGCTGCCAACGGTACCGTTTGCGCTCCAGGCGACCGCCAATAAAAACAGCTCATATTGCAGTTAGAAATGAGTTCAACTTAACGACCACTTGGACTCGAGAATGGATGAAACACCAAAATAGCAGCTTACCCTGCATCACACAAAAACCGCCAGGTTTTGACTTACCACACAACACATGGACTATGTTGAACCAAATCAGAACCAAGTATGGCAGATGCGGTAATATAATGCACAAATGGGGTAAACGACCATCCCCACTCTGTGACTGCGTACAACCACAAACCATCTGTCACATCACAGAACAGTGTCCCACAAGATCCTATCAAGGTAGGTCAGAGGATTTCCTAATGGCGACTCCGGAGTCGATAGAATATATAAATAAGTTAGATGTCCGTTTGTGAACATATATGTATTATGTTTTATACAAATTATGTGTAAATTTAAATGTAAATGTGCCAAGTGCCATACGATAAATAAGTAATTATTGGAATCAATATCAGATAATTAATTGCTAACCTCGAACATAAAAGTGTCTACTTCTTCCCTTATATCCAATCTTGAAAGTGATTTTCCATCTATAGTAGATTCTAAAAGAATATCCAAAAATACTGGTTTCTTGTTATTAGATGAATGGCTCCCAATATTTTTATTTTGCTCCTTCTCAATAATTCTTTGATTGATAATATTGTCTGTGTGTCCATGAACTATCTTTAATGTTATCCATTCTTGAAGGTAGGTTATAGTAAATTTGTAAAAAAGTGGATTAATACAACTATATAATCTTCCACCTACGATTTGGCACATAGTTTTGACACCTTGAATGTATTGAGAGGTCTTCATCTTCTGAGCATTCAATTTAACTCCCATGGCAGCCTCTATAAGAATAACACAAATAATTATTAAAGTATGGGGCAAACCAAAATGTTAATTATAAATAAGAGGTCATAAAATATTAACATCATTTAACATATATATTCTAAACCTAAATATTATATTTTAAAATATTAGTTGAGATAATCTTTAGTAGTATGGAAGACACAGCCAATTTTTTTATCATATATAAATTAAACATACATCGACTGCTAAAAAATGTTTATAGAAGAATCCTGAAGATATCATGGACGGAGCATGTAACAAACAACGAAGTCATGAGAAGAATCAGAAAAAGAATGGAAGTATTGGAAACCATCAAGACCCGAAAGCTGCAATACCTGGGGCATGTTATGCGTAATGGGATATACAACCTACTTCAATTGATTATACAAGGGAAAATCCAGGGCAAGAGAAGTGTAGGAAGAAGAAGAATCTCATGATTGCGTAACTTAAGGGAATGGTACGGATGCACATCAATTGAACTATTCAAAGTAGCAGCATCTAAGATCAGAATAGCCATGATGATTGCCAACCTCCGTCACGGAGATGGCACGTGAAGAAGAAGATAGTTATGCTGTATTAGATTCAAGCAATAAAATAAATATCCATAGAAGGCTGCGTTAGGATTCGGGTAGCTTTATTATATTGCAAACGTTCTACACGTGTTTTGTCATTGTCAAACCGTAGAAATCTGCTGATGCTTCAAAAGTGATTTATTTGCATACGTGCTTGGTACAAAGGATAAGGGATTGTTTTCCAAAAATCTTTATAATGCCATACTCTTGTTGTAATAAGAATACCTTAGTATGCAAATTTTTCTGTCGTAAGTGACTTCTAAACTCATAGAGGTTTGTCTGGATTTTCGGCACTATACTTCATCAAAAACATCATTAGCTTTTCGATTGGTTTCGCATATAATTATGTCACACATTACATTACGTTAGTGAAAAGACACTTGAATATATCTCGATCAGAAAGAGATTTAGTAGATCGAACTGGGCCCGCCTTTTTATGCAAAATGTTTTGTTTTAGTGTTTGACTTGCAGTTAAAGGAGTTTTATTACCAAATAGTTTTATCTTTTGTAACCAGAAAATCACTTTCAGAAGAACTTCCTTAAAAATCGTCAATGACGGTAATCTTATATTGATATCAGTAAAAACGTCCTCTGCATCAAACGTTACATCTCCATCGATTTTGCTTTGCGGAACATAGTTCTCATCTGATTCCTGGTTTTCGATATTTTTGTCTAGTTCCTTATCTAAATCGTCTATAAACTGTTGCAAGTATTTTTGTTGATCTTTATACGTCATTCTAAGAAATGAGTGATCTATGTATAAGACATTGTAAAAATAACCCGTAATCACTGACCTAAATTCGCTAGCACTTGCTTCTCTTCTAGTTATTATTACAACATAAAATACGCATATAGTCACAAAAATATTAACAACTTATAAGCACAGTTAAATGTACACTAAAAGCAAACAAACTAATGTCAAGCGTCTGTTATTTTCGGAACCTAAAAGCGAGGTGTACCGAAAAAAGGCCGGGTACCTGGTTAACAGGGGTATAGACTCTTACGACTCTTACCAACGCATGGTATCCTCGTATATACTCCAAATTCAATACCATTGTCAGGGTTTCACTTTAAAATAATAGACACTGTAGGGTCACAAAACGGGAGACGAGTGTAGTGCAATGGTGGCGTGTATATTTTTAAAATAAGGGAAATCATTGTGAGGACTAGTTCGAAAGGAACCCTTTACATTAGACTTCTTTAAACGTACTGATATTGGAATAATGATCTTATGTACCTATTGATATTTTTAAAACAAATAAAATTTATATTCAAATATAAATAGCTAGTGCTTTACAGAAAATAATAATAAACCCGGCAGCCTAATGTTAACCTTAATGTTCAGAAACAAACTTGCCTTAATAAAGTTATTAGGTAAGTACTTACAATGCGTTCAACTTTAAAAAATGCGAGTTACTTGATGTAGTCAAGGACTTCAAAGCAACATATGACAGGTACATAATAGAAGATATTGCCAAAAAGCACAATGTGAAGATTCTGAGGCTCCCACCCTATCACTGTGAACTCAATCCCATCGAAATGGTTTTTAGTGAAGTGAAACGGTGCATAGCTGGACGCAACGCGAATTTTAAAGAAGCTGGAATGCGAAATTTAAATACAGCAGCGTACCAGGTCATTACGCCAGAGCAGTGACGCATCCAGGGGAGGTCTTGGGGGTTAAACCCCCCCATTCCAAGGACCCTATTTCGACACTGTTATTCACAAATTTTAAAGACTTAAAATGGTGGAGGTAGCATAAAAAAATTTCGGTGCCCAACCAAACCCCCCTAGAGGAAAATTCTAGGTGCGCTACTGCGCTTGAGAAATTAAAAAACTACGTAAACCACGTAATAAAAAAATGTGGGAAATTGACAATTTGTTGGATGATACCGAACCAATTATTATAAATATAAATAACGGAGATAGTGATGAGAATAAGGATGTTAATGATGATGAGGATAGTTAAGTAGAAACTTAACTTAAAGGAACTCAATATAATAGTGTACAATTACGATTACTTACAGACGAAATTAAATACAATGATTTCTTTTATTTTTAACATATTTATTAGTTTTATTTTCGAATATTTCTACGTTTTGTTACTGCCAACATATACAGTGCGGTTTTTAAATGTCCTTCCCCCCTTAACTTTTGAATGGAACAATACATAAATAAAATGTTTCTTTATATTTTAGTTTTATTTTATTCGATTTGATTTAAATATATAAACAAATGGTTTGTATCGATAGCACATACTGTAGAATGAAAAACATACTACTTGTGTGACATAAAAAAAAGGTATTTTTTAATTTCTATTTTATTTAATTTAACCCAACTATGTTGTAGCAAATATTATTTATCTTTGAGAATCACTGACAGCAGGAAGCCAGGCAGGCTCGTTAGTGGGCATTAGTACTTAAGCTATCCTCAACATAAAAGATGAATTATTCTAAGCAGTAAGAAGTGACGTTTATTTTAATACCAGTTTGTAAAGAAGTACGGCATCGATGTTGTGCATTTACCCTGTACAGATAAGTCATTTTAAGACAATCTATAGAACGGACACGCGTATGAACGACATGCTTCATAAAGCCAAGATTGTATATTTTCAATGTCATCTTCGTTTACAGATTCTACCGCATTCTGTTTTCGCTTAGGATCCCCTTCACATTTCTGTATAGCCTCTAGTGTATCAATATCATTGTTTTTAAAAGTGAAACTGGAACAAACCATGAAGTGGAGATATCCAGGAGTGGCTAGTATACCTGTTGAATACAAAGCACGTGGTGTTCGTGTGTATTAAGGTATAAAAACGCTTATTAAAAGCTTAAAATTTTTTTTATTATAAAGAAGATCTTTTCGGAATATGTATCATTCCATCATCAGTTTACTAAAAGAGAGAGTAAAAATACCAATATTAAAAACAACAAAGTTAAAATTTGAACATACAAAAAGAGAAAGTTGGTTTTTTACTACTTACATAAAAAAGGTTGTTAAAAAACATTGTGTGGCCACATAAAAAACATTCGGTTGACATCTGGATTTAAAAAATAATATTCTTCGTGTTATTTATTCAGGTAAATGCAATAGACTCTTGACTTGTGTAATGTAAAAAATGAAACTGGGGGCATCTTATATGACCCCCTGTAGTTGGTGAAGTTTTATTGACTTACATTACCTCTGATCTGTGTTGGAGTCTAGGGCTAACTGATAGAAAGATGGTATGAAAAATCAGTTAGTACCCGTCAATGTCAAGAGGAATGATGTGGTAGGAGCAAAGTCATTGTGCTTAAGTTTGTGAGTAGGCAGTTTTTAGTGAAGAAATGTGTTTTGTGTGTAGTAGGATCATAAGCAATTTTTGGTATTTTAAAAAACTGATGGGAGAATATAAATCAATGCGTGACTGTGATGCAAAATAAATCGGTATACCAAGGTAGGTAAAAATTTTATGTAATTTAAGTGGTTAAAATTAGTAAATCATTTTAAATGGGATGAAAAGGATGTTATTACCTAATTGTATCATTGTATTAAATAAGTATATATAAAAGATGGATTGTAATTTATGGAAGATGAGTCGAGGAAAAGAAAAAGAAGTAAACGAGAAGGTAAGAAAGGGAATAGAAAGTGAATGTGACGATGTAAGATGGAGAAATTGAAACTGATTGTGATAGGAGGTAGATAGATGTAAAATTAATATTTATAAGAAAATGTGTATGATTGTATGTGTATGATTAAATGAATATATATAAAAGTAGGATTGTAATTTATGGATGATGAGTAGATGAAAGAACAAGAAAAGGAAATTAACGAGAAAGCAAGAAAAGGAAATAGAAGGTGAATATGGTGATTTAAACTGGTGGTATTAAAACTGATTGTGATAAGAGAAAAAAGATGTAAAATGAATAATTATAAAAAATGTGTATGATGAGTGATGGTAGTTATTGGAGAGGATGGGTAGTTGGATATTGGCAAAGGGGTGATGTTAGTGTATTAATGGTGACAAGTATAGAGTTAAGTATGAATGATTATGTAAGTTGAAATTTAGCTATGGGAAATAAAAAAGAAAAAAGAAATGTAGAAGTGAAGTAAAATTGGATGGGTAGTTAAAAGAGAGAAAGTTAGTTTAGGAGAATAATTGTCGATGAAGTGGGACGAAGTCTCTGTTGATGCTGGTGTGACGATTAACACAATTGGGACTATTTTTCTTTTCCTTGACTATTTCCAAATCCTCAAAAAGGTCGAGTTTGAGATAATCTCTACCAGGGATGTTATGAAGAAGAGAGATATCATCTGGTACCTTGATTGTGTGGTTGTGATATTTAAGGTGATGTGAAAAAGAAGAAGTGTTCTCTACCTTAGAATGTTCAATGGCCCTGGTTACTAGAGATCTACAAGTTCTACCGATGTAAGTGGCATCACAGTCAGAACACTGAAGTTTATAAACTCCACTGCGTTTAGTGAAGTGAATAGGGTCCTTACTATTGCATAATGATCTACTCAGTTTATTGTTGACTTTAAAGGAAATCTTAATATTTTCAACAGAATTCAGGATAGTGTTTTTTATTGATTCAGAGAGTGTTGGACAGTGAAATGGTAATGAGAAATAAGATGGGGAATCTAAAGTAATGTTAGGGTAAGCTAATTGTTGAAGCAATTTACGTTTCTTTTTATAAATGAGTTTGTGGATTATATCAGGGTTGTAGCCATTGTTGAAAGCAATCTGTTTGATAATGTTTAGTTCTTGGTTGTAGTTATTTTTGGATAATGGGGTGGTTTCTAAACGATGAATAAAACTGTTGAATGCAGATAATTTATGAGAAATAGGATGGTTGGAATTGAAATGTATGACATGATCTGTTTGTGTAGGTTTTCTGTAGATGCTATAATCAAAGACATTATTTGTTCTATTGATGGACAGGTCCAAGAAATTGATGGAGAAGTTTGATTCTAATTCCATAGTGAATTTAATATTGGGGTGAATATTGTTGATAGTATTAAGTAAGGAAGAAGCAGTATTTGAGTTACCTCTAATGAACACTAAGCAATCATCAACGTAACGGAACCAGTGTAGAATTGTATTGTTAGTCATAATTTGAGTGGATTCTAGATGATTCATGAAGAGGTCAGCTAAGAAGGGGAAAGACAACTTCCCATGGCTAAGCCATCAGGTTGTTTATAAAAAATGTTGTTAAAAGAAAAGTAATCTTGTGATAAACACAAGGAAAGTGTATCTATTATTGGTGTGATGACTGAAGGATTAATTGATTTAGATGTAAGAAGGTTGTGGACTAACTGAATAGTTTCAAGTTTAGGAACAGAAGTAAAGAGATTGCTAACGTCAAATGAAAGCATAGTCATATCTGGAAGGAGATTTATATGATTGAGTTTAGATATTAGTTCGGATGAATTTTTGATGGAAAAAGTGGGAGAAAAACCTGTTATGTCCTTGATTACTCTGAGTATGAATTTAGAAATTATGGAGACCGGGGTGTTGATGAAACTGACTACTGGACGAATTGGAATGCCCTCTTTGTGGATTTTTGGAAGACCATATAATCTAGGAATTAATGGATTACTAGGGATTTTGTAATATGGTGCATGAAAATCTGTGAAAAAAGTAGAGTATTTCTTTAAAAAGGCTTTTTGTTTGTTAATGAATCTGTTCAGTGGGTCATGTGGAAGTACTATGAAGCCATTGTTATTCAAAAAAGTGGAAACTTTGTTGGTGTATTCAGTGTGATCCAGAATTACTAAGCAATTACCTTTGTCAGATTTAGATATTATTAAATTGTGGTTTTTTATTTTCCTTTTTATTGAATTTAGAATATTTAAACTATTGTGTTCAACTTCTTTACAACAAAAAAATGTCATTAGAAATAATTGTTTCAAAAAACTTCATGCTGCATACAAAAACTTAACTTCCAATTCACATTTTCATCATCCAAATCACAATAGTTTAAATATTCTAAATTCAATAAAAAGGAAAATAAAAAACCACAATTTAATAATATCTAAATCTGACAAAGGTAATTGCTTAGTAATTCTGGATCACACTGAATACACCAACAAAGTTTCCACTTTTTTGAATAACAATGGCTTCATAGTACTTCCACATGACCCACTGAACAGATTCATTAACAAACAAAAAGCCTTTTTAAAGAAATACTCTACTTTTTTCACAGATTTTCATGCACCATATTACAAAATCCCTAGTAATCCATTAATTCCTAGATTATATGGTCTTCCAAAAATCCACAAAGAGGGCATTCCAATTCGTCCAGTAGTCAGTTTCATCAACACCCCGGTCTCCATAATTTCTAAATTCATACTCAGAGTAATCAAGGACATAACAGGTTTTTCTCCCACTTTTTCCATCAAAAATTCATCCGAACTAATATCTAAACTCAATCATATAAATCTCCTTCCAGATATGACTATGCTTTCATTTGACGTTAGCAATCTCTTTACTTCTGTTCCTAAACTTGAAACTATTCAGTTAGTCCACAACCTTCTTACATCTAAATCAATTAATCCTTCAGTCATCACACCAATAATAGATACACTTTCCTTGTGTTTATCACAAGATTACTTTTCTTTTAACAACATTTTTTATAAACAACCTGATGGCTTAGCCATGGGAAGTTGTCTTTCCCCTTCTTAGCTGACCTCTTCATGAATCATCTAGAATCCACTCAAATTATGACTAACAATACAATTCTACACTGGTTCCGTTACGTTGATGATTGCTTAGTGTTCATTAGAGGTAACTCAAATACTGCTTCTTCCTTACTTAATACTATCAACAATATTCACCCCAATATTAAATTCACTATGGAATTAGAATCAAACTTCTCCATCAATTTCTTGGACCTGTCCATCAATAGAACAAATAATGTCTTTGATTATAGCATCTACAGAAAACCTACACAAACAGATCATGTCATACATTTCAATTCCAACCATCCTATTTCTCATAAATTATCTGCATTCAACAGTTTTATTCATCGTTTAGAAACCACCCCATTATCCAAAAATAACTACAACCAAGAACTAAACATTATCAAACAGATTGCTTTCAACAATGGCTACAACCCTGATATAATCCACAAACTCATTTATAAAAAGAAACGTAAATTGCTTCAACAATCAGCTTACCCTAACATTACTTTAGATTCCCCATCTTATTTCTCATTACCATTTCACTGTCCAACACTCTCTGAATCAATAAAAAACACTATCCTGAATTCTGTTGAAAATATTAAGATTTCCTTTAAAGTCAACAATAAACTGAGTAGATCATTATGCAATAGTAAGGACAATATTCACTTCACTAAACGCAGTGGAGTTTATAAACTTCAGTGTTCTGACTGTGATGCCACTTACATCGGTAGAACTTGTAGATCTCTAGTAACCAGGGCCATTGAACATTCTAAGGTAGAGAACACTTCTTCTTTTTCACATCACCTTAAATATCACAACCACACAATCAAGGTACCAGATGATATCTCTCTTCTTCATAACATCCCTGGTAGAGATTATCTCAAACTCGACCTTTTTGAGGATTTGGAAATAGTCAAGGAAAAGAAAAATAGTCCCAATTGTGTTAATCGTCACACCAGCATCAACAGAGACTTCGTCCCACTTCATCGACAATTATTCTCCTAAACTAACTTTCTCTCTTTTAACTACCCATCCAATTTTACTTCACTTCTACATTTCTTTTTTCTTTTTTATTTCCCATAGCTAAATTTCAACTTACATAATCATTCATACTTAACTCTATACTTGTCACCATTAATACACTAACATCACCCCTTTGCCAATATCCAACTACCCATCCTCTCCAATAACTACCATCACTCATCATACACATTTTTTATAATTATTCATTTTACATCTTTTTTCTCTTATCACAATCAGTTTTAATACCACCAGTTTAAATCACCATATTCACCTTCTATTTCCTTTTCTTGCTTTCTCGTTAATTTCCTTTTCTTGTTCTTTCATCTACTCATCATCCATAAATTACAATCCTACTTTTATATATATTCATTTAATCATACACATACAATCATACACATTTTCTTATAAATATTAATTTTACATCTATCTACCTCCTATCACAATCAGTTTCAATTTCTCCATCTTACATCGTCACATTCACTTTCTATTCCCTTTCTTACCTTCTCGTTTACTTCTTTTTCTTTTCCTCGACTCATCTTCCATAAATTACAATCCATCTTTTATATATACTTATTTAATACAATGATACAATTAGGTAATAACATCCTTTTCATCCCATTTAAAATGATTTACTAATTTTAACCACTTAAATTACATAAAATTTTTACCTACCTTGGTATACCGATTTATTTTGCATCACAGTCACGCATTGATTTATATTCTCCCATCAGTTTTTTAAAATACCAAAAATTGCTTATGATCCTACTACACACAAAACACATTTCTTCACTAAAAACTGCCTACTCACAAACTTAAGCACAATGACTTTGCTCCTACCACATCATTCCTCTTGACATTGACGGGTACTAACTGATTTTTCATACCATCTTTCTATCAGTTAGCCCTAGACTCCAACACAGATCAGAGGTAATGTAAGTCAATAAAACTTCACCAACTACAGGGGGTCATATAAGATGCCCCCAGTTTCATTTTTTACATTACACAAGTCAAGAGTCTATTGCATTTACCTGAATAAATAACACGAAGAATATTATTTTTTAAATCCAGATGTCAACCGAATGTTTTTTATGTGGCCACACAATGTTTTTTAACAACCTTTTTTATGTAAGTAGTAAAAAACCAACTTTCTCTTTTTGTATGTTCAAATTTTAACTTTGTTGTTTTTAATATTGGTATTTTTACTCTCTCTTTTAGTAAACTGATGATGGAATGATACATATTCCGAAAAGATCTTCTTTATAATAAAAAAAATTTTAAGCTTTTAATAAGCGTTTTTATACCTTAATACACACGAACACCACGTGCTTTGTAATATCATTGTTGTCTATAAAACTTTCTTTATCACTCGAATTATTATATGAAATTACAATACCTACTAAAATAATTAATCAATTTTATTTCTTTACATTACTTTTTTAGTTCAAATTAAGTCGCCAAATACATTTTTTACGTACATAAATATATAAAAAAAATTGTCTCTTTTGAATAATACTTACCGCAAATAAGGTCTAATGTACACAAAGACACCAAGGGACTGATATCAAAACTTGGTTTGTTGACGTGTTCCTGTAATACTTCAATAAAAACTTCTCCAACGTTAGCAAATATTTCAACAAAATTGTTAAGAATAGAAAAATGGAATGCTGGTGTTAACAGTTTTCTACGTTGTCTCCATTTCTTACCTATGAAAAAAATATTAAAAATATATATCTTTTAATCGCAAAAAATAGTAATGAATTAATTGTTAAACCTATGACTTAAGTTACGTATTATCAACGAAAGAAAAACTAACTCATATAAATCTAATTGTAACTAAACATTATTAATATAAATATAACTCTTTTATTCCATCGTGAATTCTGTACTTTGCTAATCTCTATCCATTGCTGTTTCTGCATATTTTTTTAAATCGTCAGTATGGACTGTCAACGTGAGGTCTCTATTTTCCTCCTATTTATTCCAATTCTCTCCAAATTTTCCTTTGAGGATGCTTGTTACCGAAAGCCTATGACGTTTGATGTTTTTATAAAGTCTTCATTTATCTGCATATTACACTTTGATATGGTCCAAACGTTTTTTTGTATTGTTATTTTCAATGTATTTTAATTTCCAATATATATAAATCTTCGAAATCTTCGCATGGTGCCTCCTCGGTAATATTACTGCGTATGTTTACTGCTTTGTCACTAACTAAACGTTTTGTATTTTTAATCTGTATGGTTCATAAACTAAGCTATTTCTCTTCACTTCCATCTTATTACGCTGCATATATTTTCTAAGTTAAACCACGTGCTATTTTTTTTTTGTATCTATAGATGTTTGCTTATTTAAATAATTTGTAGATGATCTGATGATGTGTATAAATATACACGAAACATCGTCAATTAAAGAATGAAGTAGCTGATATCCTTCTTGTATTTTTTATTTTTATTTATTGGTATTATCTGCTATATATATATATATATATATATATATATATATATATATATATATATATATATACAGACCTCACATAAAAAAATATCGCCCGCTCCACTCTTCAATTAAAATCCTACTATCCTACTGACAGAAATGTTCGCGCCAACTCCCGCGCTAACCAACGCGCCAATCCCCGCGCCAGTTAACTCGCTAACCTCCACGCCAACCTCCACCCAAACCACGTCACCATCTACGGTATAAATGAACCCCCTCTGTTCCCAGTAGCAGTGTTACATTAGGTAGTGATCGGTGTAGTAGTGTATGGGGGCTCGGGAGACTCAGACCTCGAAATGTCTAAAGAAAAAGTGCATCCCTGCATCCTTCTCGACATTCCTGCAAGTACATTTTGGACATATCCTTGAGTAATTGCAAGCTATTCATTCTGAGCTACTCTATAGTATTTGGAATGTGATTTCTTTGTCATATGCAGCGTTTTAGCTGATTCCACACGTGCTCTATTGGATATAAATCCGGGCGTAATGGTGACCAATCCGATTTTTGAATTTGGACTCTATCAAGATAATTACTCCCGATAGCAGCAGCATGTGGTCGATCATTATCGTGCATTAACATGAATCTGCCATATCTAACTTTATCAACATATGACAAAACATGATATTACAGGATGTTTTGATCTTAAGAGTCACCGGTCATTCGTCTAATCACTTCCACAAGTGCGTTGTATTCCTCACAACGAATAACTTTTCAAAACGTTATACCACCACCTCCAAACCTAACAGACTAGGCGAAAATGCAGGTAGAGAATCGTTTTTCAACTCTTGTGTAGACGCCGTTTCGACCATCTTGCTTCCATACTAGGATTCTAGTCTCATCAGTAAAAGATCATTTTTCCTGTTGTCGATATTTCACTAAATATGTGTTCTTGCAAATTCTAAACGACGACCTGGATGATTTAGGATGACTTTAGCAGGGTGTCTAGGCTTTAAGTTTGCTTATTTTAATCTATGTTTAACTGCTGTAAACTCACAACAACCTATCTAAGATTTATTAGCTCATTTCTGAGGTGCATTAATGTAGCGATTTTATGAAAAATTAAAAACCAACAAACGGTCATCAATTGCGGTTGTGCACCAGGGTAAGCGTCCTTGACTAGGCCTTCGTACAAAATTTTCTGTCTTTTGGTACCTTTTAAAAGTAATCAAAACTGTAGATTAACTTTTCTTGATACGTGCAATATCGTGTTGTTATGCTTGGGCTTCATCGAAGTGTCAAATTGATGGCATACTTGAATAAATCTTAGTTAAATCTAAACAATATTTATGTAAACTTAAAATAACCGAATTAATATGGTTGTTCTTTTACGCATAGAAGGATTTTTATGACAAAATGCACGAATGAGACTAAAAAGTGAATAAGCGTCAAAATATTTCAAATCAATTTTTTAAACAAATATTATCTTAATATTTTTAAAACAGATCAACCCAATTATATGTAGCTAAAATCAGTAATCTAAAATTATTTTTTAATAATAGAGATTCCAAAAAAAATTGAAAAATTTCAAAATATTTCAGTTTTTTGTCAGTGAGTGTACATATTATTTTTCCAAAGAAACAGATTTTACCTGTACTAGTCAATAGTCCCATAGAAAGCCAGTTGTGAATAAATTCATATCGTTTAGCTTTGTCTATAAGCTTGTTTGAACTTAAGATGTGTTCAATCAATTCCGCATCTTTGATTAAAATGCCAACATTAAGAGGGCCGTCGTAACACTTTATAACTGGTCCGTGAAGGTCATGGTATTTCATAAGGGTCCCAAGGTACTCTGAAATTAAAAATATTATATTATTTCTATTAAATCAACGTTTTAAAATTGTACGAACTTGCTATGACATTGACCACCATCAATATTCACGATAGACTTACAATCTTGTCACCTACATTCTATTATGATGTAACGTTAAAATTCTAAAATCTGCTCTGTACGCCATATTCGTTCCGTGTGTACCATGGTAGAGGAGTACCTTGAAACGATGCCAGCGTGCGTATCGGCGAAATATGACAAAATTTGACCTAACTTTTTATCAAAAAATTTTTTTTTGATAAAAAACATGAAAACATTTAAATAATTTACCTTAAATGATATTTTATAAATCTTCAAGCCAACTGCAGCCTGCCTGATGATTTTAGTTTTTATATCATAACTTTTACTATTATTGTTTTTAATTACATGCTCGTCCATATGGCAAACTTGATTTGTCAGTACTAGATTTTTCCCTTTCTTTTCCGTTTGGGGTTGAAAAGATAAATTATGATTTCTTTATTTCGTACATAAACCGAAAAAATATCATTCAAAAATCAAAATTGTCAATTTCGTATGTATTTTACTTAGACAAGGAAATAGAGAGGACGGGTAACGCTCGTTCAAACAATCTTCAAAAAGTGATGCCAGTTTTTGATGTGTCCGCCATTTTTTTGGTGTCAAACAAAAGACCTGACACCAGTTTTGTTTTTTTTTGTTTTTCAACCCTACGTTAGTCGCTAGGAAAAACCAAGCATCAAGAGTCGCTACGGTGTCTGAGACCGACAATTAAAACAAATAGATTTTGCTATAAAATTCATACAAATATTTTATATTGTGTATAGAAATAAGTAAAAAATATTTTTGAAAATTGAAAATTTATATTGAAAAAAAGATAGATACAAAATGAAAAACCCTATTATAACAATATATTGTTAATATTGTTCTGAACCTATTTTCTTATGACATTTTAAAATAATTACCATTTAAATGGGAATAAGCCACAATTAAAGGTTAAAGTAAGTTTATTGACGTTTCAATTTCGACTTCGGAAATCGTTCTCAAAACACAAACATTAGTTTGTATTACGTACTACGTAATTTTCTTGTCTTGTTCTAACATTTCTCGGTGGAATAGCCTTTTTCCATCTAGTCAATCCATGTTTTCCACTACACGCTAAGCTATTACTTCCGCTTTCTTCTTCCTCATCTGTCACATCCTGTTCCGATTCACTTTCGCCATCACGTTACTCAATTTGATCGATTTTATTTTGACTTCCCTCATCGTCAAAATAATTTTCATCGTCGGTACTAACATAGGGCATAGGCAAGAATAATTCCAACAAATATTTTTGATCGGCTTCAAAGGACATCTATAAATAAGAATTGACAAAAACTTAAAAATAATGATATGCTAAATATTTACCTGATCTGCAAGTTATGCGAACAAGTAATAGCTACACCGTTAATCGCTATGGAGTCAGGCACTAAAAACAACTATAAAACCAGTACAACTGTATCCAAGCAGGTAAGAATGTATACTAACATGAATTTGGTTGATGGTGTGATGTACAGAAAGTGGTGATAGAAAAATAACAGGTTATTTGTAAATCCCGAATGAATCATTCTCTCGTCGGTGTGTAAGAACGATAGCGACTCACGGAGGGTTAAAAGAAGTGAAATAAATACCTATTTTTTTTGTGATCATTAATAATCGAGAAATGTGATGAATATATCCTTTTGTTGGTTCATGCAGTTTTGTACAAGAGTATTCAAGCAGAAAGCTGTTTCACGTGTACTTAGTTCGCTCTTGAACGCAAATTGTGTCTCGCGGCTTAGCTCTTCCAGATTTCTGAACATTATTTCGTGGGGGATGCGAAAAAATATTTTAAGCAAATGGGTTATAAAACTGATTGGGTTATGGTCTTTGCATTTTACCACTTTTATTCATTACATAAAAAATCTGGATAGACTTTGTCTGTCCAGATTTTACTTAGTTCCTCCTGGGTATGTCCGTAGTCTACTTGATCATTCTTCAGTCGAGTCTCATGGTATTTCTTCTATACACCTGAAATTTTTTTAACATTTTTATATAGTCCAAAGCTGTCCCCTTTTCTTTTCTTTTCTTTTCAATTTTAATTCTTGTCCTTATGTTACGTTTAGTTTCCTTGTATTTATGTTGGTTCTGATGTATTTTGTACTGTTTGCATTGCTCCATTAAATCAAGTATCTCTTCCGTCATCCATTTTTTTCCTCTTATTTTACTTACGATACTTCGTCAGCATTATATATAGCCATTTTTATTTTCCACCGGATTTCTCTATGAAATAAACTGGAATATTTCTTAAGCTCTCGTTGATGTGATAACTGTATGTAGTTTAAAGCTCTTCATCTCTCATTAATTGTCTTGTGTTTATGTATTCTCTGGTACATGGTTTAAGCTTTGCCAGTCGAAGACTTACATTTGCGATTAGGAAGTTGTAGTCAGCATATATGTTTATCCCATTTTAGATGTTCGAAACGGATCTGATTTTAGATTTGTTCTTTTTAGATGCACTTGTTGGTTTTCTTCTCTATGTTTCAAGACTGGTACGGTGGGTTGTCAAGAACAATAATAAATTTGTAGCTTTTCCAAAAAATTTTAAGTATTAATAAGTTTTGGGATTTGGAATATGTAGAATGTAATAAATTAGCTAAAGCATTTTTTAACTCCGTTGTTAATCCATCTAGAAAAGCTTATTTAAATGATTTGATTGTATTGTTGTCTACCCATATTTTAGATTTTGTATGCGCATTGTTCAACCATGTCTTCAACCCGGGATTTTTTATTGTTTCATAATATTTTTTAATTATATTTAAAATTATTTCTTTCATTTTAGCGCTAAGAGGACTACTTGAATTTCATTTTCGAGGAGGACTCCATGTATTTTCAACTTAAGTAGTTTTAAAATGGACAACAAATAATTATTACTAGTTCAATATTAACAACATAAACATAAATTTTCCTTTAACCACCAAAACAACAAATACATTACTAAATTGATTTAAAATACACTTTATTACCAAAATAGTAAATCTGGTCCTAGCCTGTATTAGTTGCCGACGACGTTGAGTAGTAATTTTTACACCAAAATAGAGATATTTATTTTGTTTAGTTTTTGAATATTTTTGTACCAGGAGTACTTTTAAAATCGTTTGAATTATTCATTAATTTAATTATCAATATGATTATTTTTTCTTTAATTAATTTTTTATTCAGTAATTACAATAATTTATATACTATGCAATAAAAACTAATAATCGGGAAAAGAGAAAAATTGATAAAGTAGTTTTACTAATAAACTGTTACTATCAGAACGAGTAGATAAATTTTAAACATCTTTATTAGTTACGTTGTTTACACGCCCTGCACCGCTCATTGAAATTTGGTATAGTAGTTTCACCGCAGTATTTAAAGACTGGGGAAATTTATCATGGATCATCGGATAAACTAGTCGAATTCTGAAAAGTGTGACCCATTATTAAGACACATTTTGACAGGGTACTTAATAAAAAAAACCCAGAACCCCCCGACGTAGAAACACACAAAAAAATTAATTGAATCTGGGAAATGAACTACAAAAATATTTTTATCTATTCAAGAAAGTAAATATCATTCAATCATATTAAACTGTACACCAGATGCCAGTAAAACACAACAAATAATAATAATAATAATTCACTTTTGTTTCTTACACCGATGATTGTGGAGATTAACGAAATTTCTTAGAAATAATTTAAATTGATGATTCAATGTGCTGCGGTGTATAATATGAAAATATTATAACATCAAATTATAGAAATGGAATATTTACATTGACGATATGCTTGGTCAAGGATACGAGAATGGAGCGAACATGAAGTAGAAAAAATGGTCTTCAAAATTTAATTTTAACAAAATATCCTCGGAATTTTGTTGTTCGATGTGCTGTGCACACATAATAATATATAACTTTATTCCATGGTCTCAAAAAGGTTGGAGTATTTTATTACAATTTGTCAAATTTAACTCTAAAGCAGCCATCGCACTGGGAAAAAGTAGATTTGTAATCAATAATGTAAATAGTGTATTTGCGATAGCAATTGGAAGATATGTATGATGTTATTTTAAAAATGTTAAATAATGATTACTTTAATAATGAAATTAAACATGAATCAAAAAGGCTATGCCTTAAAATTAAAGATTTAAAATTTATTTGCAGTTTAGTAATTTGGTCCGACTTGCACAATAGAATTAATCTAGTTAGTGAAGTTATTCACAAGATAAAAATATAAATATTTCTTTAGTTATTAAATCTATCATGAATCAACAAAACTCATATTTCTGAATATCGACATGATACCAATTGCAATAACATTTTCGAGATTTCAAAGAAATTAAGTGAAGGTGTGAATGATGTAAAGGTAATTCAACTCTATATTAGAAGTTCGACAGCGAAAAACCAAATGTTAATTTGATTATGAACAACAACATGGGCAACTAAAAATACCTGAAAATAGTTAATGCATTTTATACTCTTATTACTTAATAGTCTGGTCAAATATGCCAAGTCCATAAAAAGGAAAAAAAGATACAGCTTTGTATTCGGTGAACTAAAGTTTTGACTTGTTAGAAAATTACTTTAACAGCTTTAGTGTTTTATACAATCTGCTAAAGATAAAAAACCAAGATTGAAGAAAACACTGTGACAATTTACAAGTAATTTTACCACACGTTGACAACAAAGACGTTAACTCCATAGAACTTTTCGAGGAAATTTTAATACATAAATATATTCAAGGAGAATATATTTTTTTTATTATTTACATTCTGCATTACCAAATTTTGTACGATTGTCAAAAATTAAAATAATTATAATTAAATATAACAAACAGAAGGGCGCCTATTTAGTTAATAGATAGGGTAGTTTTGCAGGTGGGCCCCTTATACCCTAGCATCGAGGCTGCATTTCATGTTAATGGGCAGTATCAATTTTACCAGAGAGA